CTAGTTACGTATTGCTGGGGGGAGGGAGACAACATGGGCTTGGGGGAGGGAGACAACAGTGGCTGGGGAGGGAGACACAGTGGCTGGGGGAGGGAGACAACAGTGGCTGGGGAGGTGGACAACAGTGGCTGGGGAGGAGAAAATAGTGGCTGGGGGGAGGGAGACAACAGTGGCTGGGGGCAGGGGAGACAACAGTGACCGGGAGGGAAACAACAGTGGCTGGGGAGGAAGACAATAGTGGCTGGGGAGGGAGACAGCAGTGGCTGGGAGGGAGACAACAGTGGCAGGGGAGGGAAACAACAGTGGCTGGGGGAGGGGAGACAGTGGCTGGGGAGGGAGACAGCAGTGGCTGAGGGAGGGAGACAACAGTGGCAGGGAGGGGAACACAGGGCTGGGGAGGAAGAATAGTGGCTGGGAGAGGGAAACAACAGTGGTAGGGGAGGAGACAGCAGTGGCTGGGGGAGGGAGACAGCAGTGGCTGGGGAGGAGACAGCAGTGGCTGGGGGAGGGGAGATGCAGGCTGGGGGAGGAGACAGCAGTGGCTGGAGGAGGGAAACAACAGTGGCTGGGGAGGGAGACAGCAGGCTGGGGGAGGGAGACAGCAGTAGCAGAGGAAACCAGGCTGGGGAGGGAACAACAGTGGCAGGGGGAGGAGACAGCAGTGGCTGGGGGAGGGAGACAACAGTGGCAGGGGGAGGAGGCAGCAGTGGCTGGGGGAGGGAGACAGCAGTGGCTGGGGAGGAGACAGCAGTGGCTGGGGAGGGAAACAACAGTGGCTGGGGAGGGAGACAGCAGTGGCTGGGGAGGGAGACAGCAGTGGCTGGGAGGAGAGAAACAGTGGCTGGGGGAGAGGGAAACAGTTGTGGCTGGGGGGAGGGAAACAATTGTGGCGGGGGTGGAGACAGCAGTGGCTGGGAGAGGAAGAAACAGTGGCTGGGGAGGGAGACAACAGTGGCTGGGAGAGGGAAACAGCTGTGGCTGGGGGTGGGAGGAGGCAGTGTCTGGAGGGAGGGGAGACAACAGTGGCTGGGGAGGAGATAACAGTGGCTGGGGAGGGAAACAACAGTGGCAGGGAGGGAGACAATAGTGGCTGGGGAGGGGGACACAGTGGCTGGGGGAGGGAGACAACAGTGGCTGGGGGGAGGGATACAGCAGGCTGGCAGGGGAGGGAGACAACAATGGCTGCAGGAGGGAGACAGCAGTGGCTGGGGAGGGAGACAACAGTGGCTAGGGGAGGAGACAACAGTGCTGGGGAGGGACAACAGTGGCTGGGGAAGGAAAACAACAGGCTGGGGAGGGAGACAACAGTGGCTGGGGGAGGGAAACAGCAGTGGCTGGGGAGGGAGACAACAGTGGCTGCAGGAGGAGACAGCAGTGGCTGGGGGGAGGGAACAACAGTGTCTGTTGGAGGAAACAACAGTGGATAGAAAACAACAGGATGGGAGGGAAACAACAGTGGCTGTTGGAGGGAGAACAACAGTGGCTGTGTAGGTAAACAACAGTGGATGGGGAGGAACAACAGTGGCTGTTGGAGGAAACAACAGTGGATGGTGTAGGTAAACAACAGTGGATGGAGGGAAACAACAGGCTGTTGGAGGAAACAACAGGATGGTGTAGGTAAACAACAGTGGATGGGGAGGAAACAACAGTGGCTGTTGGAGGAAACAACAGTGGATGGTGTAGGTAAACAACAGTGGATGGGGAGGGAGACAACAGACGCGGGCCGAGAAAAACCATTAGGGGGGTTGATTGGGTAAATGAAGCAAGCCATCTTGCCCCCACTATAAGAGACTCAACGTGATGCGATTCCCTCGTCTCAGGAGCCAGGGAACACGCACGTATATTTACAGTTACACACACACATTCAGACACACACACACACACACACACACACACACACACACAGACACACACACAGACACACATACACGCATACAGACAGACACACACACACACATTCAGACACACACACACACACATACACACACACACATACAGACACACACACAGACACACATACACACATAGACAGACACACACACACACACACACACATACAGACACACACACATACAGACACACACACACACACAGAGACACCACACATGCACACACACACAACACACCCTGCACATATGCACGCGCGCGCACACACACACACACACACACACACACACACACACACACACACACACACACACACACACACACACACACACACACACACACACACACACACACACACACACTAAACTGTCGGTACAAGCGTACCTCGACAGATGTGGAGGTGTGGTAACTTCCCTTGACATTTCTCTGAATCTTCCTCATATCTTGACTCGACTTCATTCAACAGTACGAAACTGTATTAACCGGAGCTCAGAGCTAAATGTGTAATTGATTTACCGGTACTGCTTAAACACTCAGAAAAAATCTATTATAATACTTTTATAGAAACGTATTGGCTAGTTACTCACTCATCATAACTTGAATGGAAAGTGAGACAATATTCCTACTAGGCAATCTGTGGAGCTGTTATGTTTTGAGGGTCTAATGGTCTGATGGTCAAGATGACAGCTTTGGAGACGGCGTTTCTCAACACGATTCAGCACCGTGTTAGAATGCAACATAGGTTACGAAGAGTGACAGCATTACAGACCCGTTATACACTCGTCCACGGTCACTTGTTCCTCAGAACTAATAAAATATAAACTCTCTCCATAATATGAATAACGAAGGAAAGGAAATAGGCAGTAAAATTAATTGGACGGCGTAACTATAAATACAATATATACTTCCTCTCACATGGCACGTTAGTACAACACGGTACAGTTCAATTGATATTTTTTTTTCTATTACCAAGTCGGTTTGACTAACTTAAGCCTGAATGAAGAGTTAAGTAGTGCAATCGTACAGTTGCTGCTACTGCTAAAAACTTTTAATTTATATATTAAACAGCATCCACTATAGAAGCTTCGGGTCATCTGAAGATTAAGGTTATCGATCCGATGATTTAATCTTACGGTGAAAAAAGCTGGGGGCGAATCTTAGGTGATCCGAAGCTTCGAACCTGCTGACTGTTTATCACCAATGTACTATATATTATGTTGTGGTGACCTGTGGTGTACTGGTCAGCATGCTCGCCTCGCAAGCAAGCGGACCCGGGTACGATCCCCGGGCAAGGTGAAACTATGGGCAAGTTTCTTTACGCCATTTGCCTCTGTCTACCCAGCAGTAAGTGAGAACCAGGATGTTAATCGAATTGCGGATCGTGTTCCAGAATAATGGTTAGCCAGTGCAGTTGGTGAGTTGGTCGGTCTTCTCGGACTATCCCTTGACACTGGGTCATGCAACCTGTTAACTCAGGGTATGGTTGTTGTGTTGGCGAGTTTTTATACCTTGGGCCGGCCATCCTCGTTACACGAGGGGCAACCATTATTAGTATTATATATTATGCTTGGATAATACCTTGAAAAGACATCCTGTAATAAAAAAAGATAAATAAATTAAAGTATTATGTCACATTTTCCTCAATTCCCTTTATCCATATGACTCCCTAGTAAGTCCCATATACTGTCTAAAGAAACTTGTCCATAACTGTACACGTGATACATCTTGCGGAGTATGGCAGTACTTCTGTGTGACAATATTAGCCTCTTTATCAAGTTCATTTCACTGTTAAGTAATTCCTCAGATCAGGAGAAACGACACACATCATTACTCTTTATAACCGAATGGATCCGAGTCACTTATTTTCTTTGAATGTAATTTGAATAAAGGGAAAATTTATGACTGTTCTACAATTTTAATTCATCTTCGTAGTGTTTGTTGTGACCTGACGCATGGTTCTTGGTTTCGCTTTTGTTCGTGGAAACAATTCAAACTCGAGGTTTCCTTCATCTAACTATTTTTGTTTTTTTATTGAGTTTCCCTCTTATCATGGAAAGAATTCCCAATTTCTGGTTTATAAACTTGAAGTAACATGACCCATTCGCATTATACCTGGTTTGTTAAGCCAAATTCTCGTTACCTGGCACTGCACGCCTGAAGTCGATGTCCATCATGTGTAATATGATACTAACTACGGCAACAAAGACAGTGGAAATCAGATTTAACTTCAGTAATCGTACAAGAAGGAGCGACTTGAGGGAGAAGAGCAATACTCCATGGCAGGTTTAACCTCATTCTGCTGCCTATAATCTGTCCTTTTATCGTTTTATCTCCAAGGCGATACAACAAATGACGCTAGATTGTTCGTTTCTCCTGTTTCTTGCCTTTATAGTAACGAGTGTAGCTTTACTTACCGTACACTTAAACTTTTATAAGAAGAAAATAAATTAATGTGTGTGTGTGTGTGTGTGTGTGTGTGTGTGTGTAATAATAATAATAATAATAAACGGTTTATTAATAGAGTTGCAGCCGGTGGCTGAAAATATACAGACTTACATTTGATTTAGACATAATGATATAATATGCATTGAATACATTTACAGGGCTGTACAGTACATAAATCAGGAGTTGTTTATTATTTTAACAATAGATGGGATGGTGTTGTTCTTATATCTATCGGTGCAGGCTCTTATGGGGAATTTTGTTGTAGTGGCGGACTGCGCGAGTTGGGTGGGGGGCTGCAGGTGGCAGGAGGTGGAGATGACGAGGGTGGTGCAGTAGTCCACTGCCAAACCTTTCCAGTGCTTGGTGGTGGAGGTCACTGAGGGATGGCATTTCCAGGGTGGAGAGAGCGTTGGTGTGTGTGTGTGTGTGTGTGGGTGCGTGTGTGCGTGCGTGTGTACTTACCAATCTAGGTAATATCCCTAATAACTCATATCATTGTATCATAGCTGGGTCATACTCGATTCCGAGTGACGGCAAAGTAATAAGTAGTAGTAGTGTGTGTGTGTGAAAGATGCTTTATTAGGTAGGTATGTTGTCAGCCACACCCGCCCTTCTCCCAACTCCCTCACACACACTTTGCTACCATACATATCGAAGAAATAAATATTAACTATACTTCAGAAGGAAACATTAGTAGGTGTATCAGTCAACACAGTTTGCAGTAAGTGGCACTAATGTCTCACATAAACGATATTCACTTATGCTTTCTACCGATATACTAAATATGTGTAACACGCCATCATGAGTGTGTGTGTGTGTGTAATTTTCGTTGAGCAGATATTCTGAAATAACAAGACACACGAAGCACGGACTTTATACTGTAAAGTAAATGAAAAATATTGAGAAAGGCGTCGTTGGCAAAGTTGTAGTTTGGTAGGATAATAATGAATGTGAAGGTGGTGCAATATCTTAAGAGAAAACTAATTACTACAATCTGTTACCAGTTAACCTCTCAAATGGAGATTGATGTAATGGCTGTACGAGAGGCCCCATCACATGTGCCACCGTTCATCTGATCACAAAAATACATTTATGGCTGGCAGATATGGAGCGAAGAGCAAATTTTAAGGTGATATGATAATATCGAGTTTTAAATTTCTTATATATATATATATATATATATATATATATATATATATATATATATATATATATATATATATATATATATATATATTTCATGTAGATCTACGAAAACGTGGATAAGATAAATCTTGATAAAATCACACGGGAAAGGGAAACAACGGGTACCTTAGCTTTCGTCTTTATTCAAGACATCTTCAGAGGCAACTGGATTACATGGACAGAGAGGCTTAAATATACAGGGTGGCCTTAAAAACATGAGGTCAGGTCATAATGATGACATCCACTAATCCCCACACCAACACACACGTAGAGGAGCTAAAGAGAAGGGTGGTGACGTGACTAGACAGGTCAGGTCAGAAAAAGGGACCCACAAAATAACTATCATACATCTAGATCAAAGGTTTTCAAAGCATTTTTAACCTTGGGCCACTGACAAATAAATTTATGTAACATATTATCAGTTTTGAACTGACCATCACTAAGGTTTATTGATTTTAATTCCTTAATCAAACTAGCTTCAACCAGAAGTCTTTCCGTGACACAAGATGATTTGAATACTTCTAAGCTTTTTTCCCAAGCAATGGGGTGATAATTATTCCTAACATGAACGAACAAGGCACTGCTTTCAGATGCAGTTCTGATATTATACTTATGTTGTTTGATTCTGAGCTGCAGTGTTTTTCCTGTCTGACCTACATAATTACAATTACATTTGCTACATGGAATACAATAAACACTTCCATTTACATTCAAACTTGGAAGTGTTTATTGTATTCACTTATTACAACATTTAGTTAGTGAGTTTTTTGGTAAAGATGGTATTGCCGTGTTCCTAACACGTTTCCTTTATTTTGTTATCTTTTGGGGTAGTTCACTCCCCAAGTATAAAGAGATACAGTGGGATCTCCTGACAAGTGGGGCCTGTGTCCGAGAGCTACCACCATTGTTGTTGTCGCCTTCAGTGTTGTTACTCGCCAGGTGTTTGTTTCGTATAAGTATTTTTTGGATGCAAGTTGCTGTGTTCACAGTGTTCATTTACTTGTGCTCCTGTTCTTGCTTCTTGGCTACTGGTGAGTTAACCCGCTTATCTTATTAGCACCAGGTGTTTGGTTAATCCCTTGCCATATTTTAGGATTTATTGCATTTTTGATATTATTAATTAAACAACTGAATTAGCTTAACACTGCCACAGTACGTTTTTTTCGCTATAAATTTTGAGTTCAACATATTTTGACCTGGAAGCTTTTTGGCTTCACCTTCGGCGAAGTACTGAAGGGCTTACCCCAAGAACGAGTGGCATCCCTCGCTGCTTATTATGATAGAAAGGCCGCTCTTCCATGAATAAGGCTGGAGTTGAAGAGGCTGTCCTCAACTGCCTTAATGACAATGAAATCATAGCCCAACTTCGTCGCAGGAAATTCAGAGAAATTGTTACCAAGTAATTTGGCCTTACAAGTTGAACTCAAAGGCTCGGTGGAGCTGGAAACTCTCAAACAACGAAGGTTTGGCTCCAGGTAGTAATACTTTTAACATTTCCAGTGTAGACAAATGTCTCAACAGTGTTCCTAAATTTAATGAGGAAGGCCGTTAAATTCTTCTTCTCTCTTTTTGAGAAAGTGCCCGACTTAACCGTTGTTACCATTTCTCCGTGGTCTCAACTGTTATAAATCTTTCTGAAATGCAGGCATTAGATGTGTTTCCCTCTGAGGATCAATGTCTAAATTATGCCTTCTCAGTCCGCGGTTTTTGAGTGTACCGACTTGTTCCTGACCTACAGCAACAGTTCCCGCGAACTGCCGAAGACCCAGTAAACTGAACATTTGTGGGGTTTGCTGGTAGAAACAGGTCCTTTGTCGGAGAGTGGATTAGCAGAAATGAGAATCTGCCCATGTAGAACATGACAAACGACGAACTAATCCTGAAGAGGTTAGAAAAGTGTATCCCGGGCGACGACAGGCACACTGGATCAGAGGTATCTGTACTGGCTGATGCTGGTCCAGTGGCTGACATTTATTCGTAACTAATAAGTACTAAATTCCGGGTCTTATGTCACATGTCCCAGTCCTTCACTTCCTTCTAAGCCCAGCTAACATCTTAACAGGAATTTTCTTTTTGCTCTTGTGTCTTGACCCGACCCTCGGTTTCTGCATCATCTACCCTGGGTGAGCCTATGGTCCATGGGACAGGTGGATCCTCACTGGTGAGCTTCTAACGTTATGGGTACCATGAAAGCCAGGGACACATGTCATCAGCATTTGCTCAAGTTAAAGAAAAATTCCCACTCTCAAGGATCCCCCGCTCTTTTTGGTCAGGGTGTTGCGAGCAATCAGGAACGTGGAGCCTAATAATAACTGCCCTCAGTCAGACTATTTTCAATTTGCCCCTCTTCTATGATATCAACCTTTGAACCATTTTGTTCTCCTGGACATCAGCTTTGGATCAATTCAGTCAATCCATTTCTGTTGGCCTCTTAGGAGACACCAGGCTCAGCCTTATCTCTATTTACTAAAAGCTGCTCCATTCCTGGATTCTGTATTACTGCTACTGGTAGCTGGGTGCTTGTGAACGGTTTGACCGGTGGGTCGCGTATTCCCCCTTTATTGAAGTGTACTGCCGGTCATCCATAAGTCGAGCTTTGTCACGTTGGGAGTAGATAGCTTACCTGTAGAAGGGAGTCTCTATTGATAGGAAATCACCTCGTTAGCGACATGATGTTCCCTAATGTTTGCTCATCTTGTCCCACCGAAGGTAATACCTGTGCAGTTAAAGTAGACTTTCAGGGTTGTTCCTGCGTGTGCTGTATGGCATGAACCGCAGAGTACAGAGGTAGAAGAGAGACTGAGTAGAGTTGATGAAGTTTCCCTCCAGGACTGGCAGAGAAGTCCGGGGATGATGCTGCTCCAGCCGGACCATACTGATCTTGGTCTCAGCAGTGATTTTTTGAGGATTCCCCTAGCCAGATAACCTCAAGTGGTTCTGGTGGAGATAGGAACCCAGGTCTTCCACTAGTTTTGGTTCCTCTCCATCACTAGGAGTAAACATGGAGCTACAAGCAGGGGATCCTGAGCCTGTCGGTTTCTCAAATGGGTCAGTTACTGAGACAGAAGCTGAGCAGAATCAGAATTGCTACCACTGGAATTTTGAATTGTATTAATGCAGGAAGTTCCGTCCTCAGATTCTCCTGCGAGTACCCTTTAACGTTTAGTTCATCATCAGTTGTTATTCCCAAACCTTTGCGGCAGGACATACTTGGTATCGCTCACCCGATGGGGTGCGTTGGTCATTTAGGAGTTAGGGAATATTATGCAAAAAATTTTATCCCAGTTCTTTGGCCTGGGATGAAGAAAGACGTCAGCTCTTGCATACTTGCCGCGATTGTCGGGTAGCAGAAACCGAACCCACAGTGGTAAATGCATTCCTCTGCAGCCCTATCCCGGTGTTGAAGGCCGCTGGTGGGTGATGGTCTGTGTCGGTCTATACCTAAGACCCCTCGGCGGTCAGCAGTTCTTCGCTAACCATTGTGATTGTGCAGCTTCCCGTTATGTATAAACCATTCCCTTTTGCATCACAGCGAAAGAAT